TCCGGCCTTGGAGAGCAGATAAGTGCATTCTGCTGCTGTCTGCTCTCCTACATGTGCAGTCTCTCACACAAGTCAGGCCTCACTAACTAATTATTCTATGTTGGTAAAACAACAACCTATATCCTAAAGATCAAATAAACTTAAGTGTTTTGATGATTGTGTATCAAGATGAAAACTCATGGAGACCTGCAGGTGTTCAAAAACCAGGCCTGTGGGCCAATTGTGGTCCGCCAGACATTTTAGTGTCTTCTGAAATGATTCTCAATTATAATTAAGTATAAACTGGCAGTCTTAATTGCAAGGTTAATTTGAACCCCAAGGCATTATTCCTAATTTTTTTAAAACAAACTCCCTCTGGAAAATTACCATATACCTTCTAATGTGTTGGAAAAACCACCTGAATTGTTAACTAAACAAACTTTGTTAAATCTATTAAACTATTCTAAATACCTTCATAATGTTAAAGAAAAATGTGTATCCACAAAAAGGGAAGATTCAACACTTCATTACTTTTGGCCTTGGTGTTTGTTTTGTCTGTCAGACCTCTGCTCTTATCACCCTCAAGAGTCACAGCCTTACAGAGCTTTGACAAACTGAATAATATCCTAATACTCAAAGCTATACTATACACTTGAATTTAAACAAAAATATTAACAAGTTAAAGTTAAAAAAAAAAAAAAAAACTACACTAACCACCTGGTGTATGTGGGGTCTCTACAATTTAACAACTAAAAACTATTAAAAACTTATCCAAACATGTGGTAAATACTGTTTTATGTGAAACCCATATATGACCCACACAACACAATCCTCATTTATCGACCATGTCCCCCTTACTTTTACTGTAAACATGTGTCTGTAAATACATATATGTGTGTGCTGCTGTATATGTGTATGTCAAATACACAAAATGAATGTAACGAGTGGTATGTGTTCATATGTTCTTTGGGTAGCAAACAGACTTATAATATTCTTGGTTTTATTACGTGTACTGTAGTATCATCACAGTGTTAAAGACTTACCATTTCCATATTCTTGACCTAGAGAGTGTTCTAGATTTGTTTACAGATGTGTAAATACAAGTATACATTTATTTACACTAGAATACACAATAATTTACCTTGTACCTTTACCGAGCCAAATTATTTTAAATTTAAAAGTATAGAGTTGTGCTACACTTACTATTCACCTGTCTTGTGTTGTAATGCAACACTGAAATGTCCCCACTGTGGGACGTCTGAAAATCTCTTAATCTTATCATTACTGACTGTTGCTAAAATGAAAACTGACTAAAACAAGTGCAGTCAAAAGTCACATAATGCAGCATTTACAAAAATACAGGAAAAAAAAAACAAAAAAAAACTGGGGTCCCCCTTTGGCCTTGTGCACCTATTGAAGGAAAAATATAAAAACCTTAGTATTACAAAAATATACATTTGCCAAGTCTATCACTACAAAAAAAGTACTTGGCTTTAAACATTTTTGGAGTCCTCATGAGGAAAATAGATAAACGATTTGGACCTATTTTGCTTCTGGTTTATTTTGTTTGTTTGCAAAGATGGCTTTGTTTACACCTCTGAAATGTACGATTACTCCAGCCTCTGCCAGAGTTATTTAACATGCCTCATTTTCAGAGCAGTCGCTCTGACGTCTGGCACTGTCTCTCTGTGACGTAGAAGTCGAACTCTCCACGTCTCTATGTTTTGGCTGGAAATGTCTTTTCAGCTGTTTTATGCCAATCACACACTCTCGCACTTCTGTTCCCGAGATCTAAAAGCCCCTCCCACTCTGCGGCTCTAGGCTCTAACAGAAACAATGTGTAATGTTGTGTGTGTGCTGTGGGTCATCATTGTCCTTATCTCTCTCATACTATTCTCTCTCTCTCTCTCTCTCAGATACATTCACACCAAACTCTGTTTTCTACATCACAATCGAGCAATGCATATTTCCAAAGTTATGAAGCCTCCGGTCGTCTGACTAAAACATTACATTTACTAAATTGATTGTGGGATTTGGTGACAATTTACATTCAAATACATTATAGACAGACTTTTGTCAGAATACTATTCTCAGTCAGGATTTTTACCATTTTATTTCTTATTTTTACACACAGACCACAGATTTAGTCTCGGCTGTGGAAAACAACTGGGCAATTTGAAAAATACGGAAACTCTGTTTACTCACAACCTTCAGATTATTCAGAACATTTCAATGGATTTATGAAAAATTCCTTTGTCATGTTTCGCCTCTAAAGAAAAAGAATGTGTCCTTCACCCATTCGGGGACGTTATGTAATAAATCAAGTCCTTAATCAAGGAGTATGTGGCCCACGGAATTGATTAAAGTAACCTATCCCCCACTCTATTTTTCTCTTTTTTTTTTTCTGACAATAGGGTTTGTCAAGCTACTCTAAACTTTAGAACAGTCTAAATTTGTGCATACGTCAATGATCACATCCATCCCCAAATGAGTGCTTGTGTTTGTGTTGTCCTGACTTCTGGACATGTGTAGATGTGTGTTTGAGTCATGTTTTGTTTACGATACCCGGACCATGGTCTGCCTCGTCCAGATCGTCCGTGGGACCCTCCCAGACCCTCGTCCTCCAGTCAGTCAGTCCCATATCGTTCATGCTGGTTCCTGTGGAACTGTCCGGAAACGTGGTGGGCCTGGGGCCATTCTGTCAGAACCAGTTGTTGCTTTGTCTCTCTCCACTCTTTGACTGCTGCTGTGGGCGGGGAACTGCCCTATCTCTTCACAGGGATAGAAGCCTGTGGTCCTCTCTCTTCACAGGGATAGAAGCCTGTGGTCCTCTCTCTACACAGGGATAGAAGCCTGTGGTCCTCTCTCTACACAGGGATAGAAGCCTGTGGTCCTCTCTCTACACAGGGATAGAAGCCTGTGGTCCTCTCTCTACACAGGGATAGAAGCCTGTGGTCCTCTCTCTTCACAGGGATAGAAGCCTGTGGTCCTCTCTCTACACAGGGATAGAAGCCTGTGGTCCTCTCTCTACACAGGGATAGAAGCCTGTGGTCCTCTCTCTACACAGGGATAGAAGCCTGTGGTCCTCTCTCTACACAGGGATAGAAGCCTGTGGTCCTCTCTCTACACAGGGATAGAAGCCTGTGGTCCTCTCTCTTCACAGGGATAGAAGCCTGTGGTCCTCTCTCTACACAGGGATAGAAGCCTGTGGTCCTCTCTCTACACAGGGATAGAAGCCTGTGGTCCTCTCTCTACACAGGGATAGAAGCCTGTGGTCCTCTCTCTACACAGGGATAGAAGCCTGTGGTCCTCTCTCTACACAGGGATAGAAGCCTGTGGTCCTCTTCTCTGCAGGGATAGAAGCCTGTGGTCCCACCTGTATCAGGGCGGCTGATGGGCGGAGGGGGGGGCCGGGGACAGAGTTCTTGGCATGACTGGTTTGGGGCACCAGACTTGTCCATGTTGGGCTTTGTGGGTAACTGACGAGGGTTCTGGTTCAGGAAGGGGTTTGTCTTACCCTCCATATCATTGTCCTCCATCAGAGTCTTAGGTTTGGGGACGTTTAGTCACACGTCCAGGGTCTAGGTCGGGGTCCACACATCTGACCGGCTCAGAAGCATCCACGATCCCAGGGTTATCTATGTGAAAATAGAAAAAAAAGATACGGCAGTAACTTGCCCTTTTATAGATTGCGTGTGCGTGTTTGCGTGCATGTGTGTGTGTGTGTGTGTGTGTGTGTCGTCGCGCCTATACGGCTCTTGACAGAGTATTCAGGTGGTTCCATTGGGTCTCTTACATACATGCTCTCATTCTGACTTTCCATTTGCTCTCCAAACAGACTTGTATTTCTTTGTTTATCAGTCACTCTCACAGTCATTCTCGGTCACTCCAGTTCAAGTCTTATCACTCCTGGCTCGCTTCACACATCTCATGTCACTTTCATACCAGTCTGTGTCGCACAGGACTGTACTGGGCCTGGGCTCTGTATGTGTTTGTAATGTGTGTATGGTTTTGTCCCCAAATTGTAATTAACCAACTAATTAGTTTAAATCAACTACTCTTATTTTATTTTCTTTTACTCCCTCTACTTCATCCGTTCACACACTCAAACACTCATGTTTTGTCAAGAATTTGTACACAGTACGCCAGACTCATTATTACATACGTCAGAATCTATTTGGTAGGTTTCATTTGCTAATTTTCTAAATGTTTGTAGTTTATAGGCTTGATTTAAGCTTGAAGACCTACTGTCCGGGAAACCCTATTTTTCCAGACCATACATTTGAACATTCAAGGGCCGTTGGCCCATATTTTCCGGCCATTGCCTTCGTCACCGCGGTTTGTGGGACCTTGTCCCTGTCAGAAGACAATGATCCCTGCTTTTGACCCATCTTGGCCCACTATGGCTGTCCCTATTCTCCTTACTTTGCCCTCACTAGTCCAAGTCAAGCCAGCTAATACAACAATTAACCCTTAAACTCACTAGTTAACGTCAAGCCAGTTAAAATAACATCTGTAACCATGAAGACAGGAACCATTTAACCCTTAAACTCACTAGTTAACGTCAAGCCAGTTAAAATAACATCTGTAACCATGAAGACAGGAACCATTTAACCCTTAAACTCACTAGTTAACGTCAAGCCAGTTAAAATAACATCTGTAACCATGAAGACAGGAACCATTTAACCCTTAAACTCACTAGTTAACGTCAAGCCAGTTAAAATAACATCTGTAACCATGAAGACAGGAACCATTTAACCCTTAAACTCACTAGTTAACGTCAAGCCAGTTAAAATAACATCTGTAAACAGGAAGACATTTAACTCTGAGAACAGGACAGCCAAGGCCTCTCGCTGGGTGAAAATGGGGCTTTTAGTTTTGCGCGGTGAGTTAAAATACGGGGTTCTTTTGACAGTCTGAAAGAAAACAGCTCTCACCACACTGGTTGTTTACGTTTGTCCGTTTGATAACCATGCGCTGGACGGCATCGACTCGGCCCGGCGCCAGGAATCTTCTGTATCTCAAACACGCGAGGAGAAGACCATGCCAGAGGCTGGGGAGGCCACCCTTCCTGGGCCGGGTCCGCGGCGAAGCCCCTCCAGACGATGGGACTGTTCGTTGACGCCAAATTGTTGTAGAATTACTGCACATAACAAGAGTAAAATAATGTAAACAGCCCAGAGCTGTAATTCCAAACAAAGTGTGAGTTTATTCATTAGTAAATGTGCACAATTACAATGAATAACAGAACCGATACCAATACCACCGGGCAGCCGTCCGAAATCGACTGCCCCGATTGAGGAAATGACTGTACATTAAATAGACCAGAGTAAACAAACACATATCTACTCTAGATATTACATAAATGAAGTCAACACTGATATGTGTCGCTCAAGGCTTCTCTTTACGCGTCCTAACGCTGATACAACTCTGATATATGTAACAATCTGCTTTTGAACTGAACATATTGTTCTATGACCCAGGTCAAAGACATGATGCAGCACGTCTCCATCTATCACTGACCCGCTGCCAACAGAGCACTATGGCCTGTATCTGAATCCAGAGTTGACTATTAGTTAATAACTTACACTCATAACTATTAGGTGTTAATTCAGATTGCTTTACTAAAATATTTCTATAACACCATCATTATGAAATCAGTGGCAATAAACTTCCAATTTAATTCCATTTGATTTATATATTTATTTATTGCCCCAAATCACAACAGCAGTCGCCTCAGAGGACATTACAAAAATCGGAGAATAAAACTGTCTGAACACAAGAAATGCCATAATAACAAACACATAGGAGCCATTGGTCCACAGGGAGAAGGACGACCACTGTCCAGAAATGTTATTGAGGGTGTAGACCCAGGACTGAGGCTGTAGACCCAGGACTGAGGCTGTAGACCCAGGACTGAGGCTGTAGATCCAGGACTGAGGCTGTAGATCCAGGACTGAGGCTGTAGATCCAGGACTGAGGCTGTAGACCCAGGACTGGGGCTGTAGACCCAGGACTGAGGCTGTAGACCCAGGACTGAGGCTGTAGACCCAGGACTGAGGCTGTAGATCCAGGACTGAGGCTGTAGATCCAGGACTGGGGCTGTAGACCCAGGACTGAGGCTGTAGACCCAGGACTGAGGCTGTAGACCCAGGACTGAGGCTGTAGATCCAGGACTGAGGCTGTAGACCCAGGACTGAGGCTGTAGATCCAGGACTGAGGCTGTAGATCCAGGACGGAGCCTGTAGACCCAGGACTGAGGCTGTAGATCCAGGACTGAGGCTGTAGATCCAGGACTGGGGCTGTAGACCCAGGACTGAGGCTGTAGACCCAGGACTGAGGCTGTAGATCCAGGACTGAGGCTGTAGATCCAGGACTAAGGCTGTAGACCCAGGACTGAGGCTATAGATCCAGGACTGAGGCTGTAGACCCAGGACTGAGGCTGTAGATCCAGGACTGAGGCTGTAGACCCAGGACTGAGGCTGTAGATCCAGGACTGAGGCTGTAGATCCAGGACTGAGGATGTAGACCCAGGACTGAGGCTATAGATCCAGGACTGAGGCTGTAGATCCAGGACTGAGGCTGTAGATCCAGGACTGAGGCTGTAGATCCAGGACTGAGGCTGTAGATCCAGGACTAAGGCTGTAGACCCAGGACTGAGGCTATAGATCCAGGACTGAGGCTGTAGATCCAGGACTGAGGCTGTAGATCCAGGACTAAGGCTGTAGACCCAGGACTGAGGCTATAGAGCCAGGACTGAGGCTGTAGACCCAGGACTGAGGCTGTAGACCCAGGACTGAGGCTGTAGATCCAGGACTGAGGCTGTAGATCCAGGACTAAGGCTGTAGACCCAGGACTGAGGCTATAGATCCAGGACTGAGGCTGTAGATCCAGGACTGAGGCTGTAGATCCAGGACTGAGGCTGTAGATCCAGGACTGAGGCTGTAGACCCAGGACTGAGGCTATAGATCCAGGACTGAGGCTGTAGATCCAGGACTGAGGCTGTAGATCCAGGACTGAGGCTGTAGATCCAGGACTGAGGCTGTAGATCCAGGACTGAGGCTGTAGATCCAGGACTGAGACTGTAGATCCAGGACTGAGACTGTAGATCCAGGACTCTTGCAAAAATCTACATTTGAAACAGAAGCTAGTACTGCTTAGACTTTTATCTTCATCAGAGGTGACATGTGATGGTGTGATGTGTTCCCCGCTTCCTGGTTTCAAGAGAGGCGGTTGAAATCAGGAACCAGGGTGCACGGACCATCAACAGAGACGAGGGGGCCTTCACCTTGTCTCACACATGGGACTCACTTCTCCAGAGACCACAGCAGGGGGCGTGGTCCGATCCATCAGACTGACCACATCAGGTGACAACAGCTGGTCAGAGACACGTCACACCATCACGTGTCACCCAGCCAGATCCTAGCAGACCTCTGAAGCTAAGCAGGGCAGGGCCTGGTTAGTGCTGTGATGGGAGACCTCTGGGAACAACCACAGTGGCAGTAAAGTGCTACACTGTAATTATGTCCTTAGCTAAGACACTTCACCAACATTGCCTCACGTGAGTCTGGTGTGTGTGTGAAGGGTTGGTGGTCAGAGGGGTCAATCATGGCACATACTGGTGGCCTTGCTTCTGTCAGTGCGCCCCAGGGCAGCTGTGGCACACCAATGCACCATCAATAACAAGGGTCGAAATCTCTCTGTGAATCTAGTGGAACAACCTTGACTGAGTGACCACCGTCATTACAGAATCATTACGTTCTCTTCCTCACGGCGCACGAGCAGGAGACTCATGCGTCTGCGTATATCTACAATTAAAAACACAATCCGCTGAGACTCGTGCTCTTGGAATGAAAACCTACAGCGCAGCCTTTACCTCGCTTTTAATTAGAGAGAACTGATAGACTTGTCAGAAGCCATGGTAATGAGCAGAGTAACCCAGACCTCACACTCCCTCTGCAGCCTCCCACAGGACCCGCTATAGAACCAGCACATATGCACCAGAAACATATAGACCAGAAACATATGCATCAGAAACATATAGACCAGAAACATAAACATATGCATCGTCTTCAAACTTTGTAACTCTCAGTGAACGACAAAGAGGCCAAGACGAGAAAGATCAAAGTTTTATTGTGTTTTAACAAATGCTGAGAAGTTTGACCCCTGGAGTAAATGTGCACTTACTATTGTTAGTGACTTAGAAATAGAAATGCATTTGTAGATACTTGAAATTGGTAATAAGGAAGTGAGTGAATGAGTGTATGAGGGAGGGCGGGAGGGAGGTAGGTGGGCAGTTAGGTAGGCAGGTTGGTAGTGGGAGGGAGGTAGTGGGAGGCAGAGAGGTAGGTAGGTTGGTACTGGGAGGGAGATCGGTCGGTAGGTAGTGGGAAGGTGGGAGGGAGAAGTAAGTAAGTCCATCCATCCATTTTCTTCCCCTTAATCCATTTCTGGCTTGGGGGGGTGGCAGTCAGAGCTGCACCCGGCACACAGAGCACCAGCCCCTCACTGATCCTGCTGCAGGTGGTGAGTCCACAGGAGCCGAGATCTTTTAGCGGGGGCTTCAGGCAAAGTGGGGTTAGGTGTCTTGCCCAAGGACACAACGACAGCAGTCACCAGTGGGAGTCGTGAAGTAGCTCTCAAAGTGGGCTCGAACCCACGACCTTCAGGCTCAAAGGCCAATGCTTTACCAACTGAGCCACTGTCGCTGGAGTAAGTGAAACTAGGGCAAATACTGCTGCTTGACTGTGTATTTATGTGTATGTGTATTTGCATATTTACTCTAAGCACAGAAGGCACATGTACAAAAGGTCGTGTAAACTAAGAAATGTAAATATTGTAAATACTTTTCGGCTCGAACGAATAAATTAAAAAATAAATAAATAAATCAAACTTTAAGAATTATGTTTTTATTTATGTTTGTATGGATGACGTGTTTTTCCAACAAAATACACACACACTCTCACGCACACACACACACGCACACACACACACACACACACACACACACAGACACACACTCTCACGCACACACACACACACACACACACACACACACACACACACACACACACACACACACACACACACACACACACACACACACACTCACACACACACACACACACACGCACACACACACACACACACACACACACACACCAATACGCCTCTCATCCATTCTGATACCGTGCTGAAGTTGCCAATGAAAGTTTTGGCTGCCTTGGTTTTCCAGTTTAAGTTGCAACAAAGAAAAACACATCTCCCCCTTCCCCTCTGCATCTGTTCAGCTTAAAAAAACCATCCTCAAACCCTCACAGACTAGATTCATTCCCGGGCTCCGGCTCCGGGAACGCCGTAACCAGGTTATCGCCGAGCACACAACACGATCGGCCGCCCTAACCTCATTTCCACCCCGAAACGTTTGTGCATGAACAAGAGAAAAGAGGAACAAGAGCAGCAAGACCGAGAGACAGAGAGGAAAAAAATTAGAATAAAATCCGGTTTGGCTTCAAAGAGTGTGATCTGAAATGCTGTAATGCTTCCTGTTTATTCCCAGAGCTGCTGAAGTGCGTTTGATGTGTGTCTCGGAGGGAGAGGCAGACCTGGGATCAGCGGCGGAGCTCGGTGTTTGACGGTAAATTGGTGTTCGCAGAAGGTACCTGTCAGAGTGAGGCTGTGTTGTTAGTGAGGGAGGAGAGGATGCAAGGCTGAAGTGAAACGGCCGGGCCCCAGGGAGTCGTTCCAACGGGTTATTTGGGATAATAAGGTTAAATGGGCGAAAATGAAGTTGTTTTGGAAGTGCCACTTAAAGCTGGGGCAGAGTAAAGGTAAAACGTTCATTATGTCTTCATGTGTTTAAGGCTTATAAGGTTTTTTAAACTCTGACACTGCAGCCAGAGTCCGGACTAGAACCAGGAAGTACCATCGCATTAGTCCTGGTCTCAGGTCTCTGTTCCAAGTCTCTCCATGACTCTGAGGAAACATATGCATTGGGACTCTGAGGAGCACGTGGACTGGCCTCCTGCTGAGATTGAGGAACGCAGGGAATGGCCTCCTGTTGGGACTCTTGAGGAGCACAGGGCCTAGTCTCCTGCTGGGACTCTGAGGAGCACAGGGACTGGCCTCCTGCTGGTCCCACAG